AGTTCTATATATTATTTCACTCATTTTGTGGTTTTTCTTCATAATATTGACAGATTATTGATGCCCATTTAATAGCTAATAATTGAAAATGCAGCGTGTAGCATTAGTATTGTGTTTTGGGTTCCTAAATATAAGCTCATAAGCGTTATCTTGTATTCAGGATTGCCTTGTATCTCTAACTGCTTCCTAATCCGTGTCATCTCCAAATAATGCAATTCCAGGATTGTTTACTTTGTAGCACTAAAATAAATCTTTGTCTTTGTGTTAAAAAATAAATGATCCTTATGATTTGCAAGTTAAAAATGATTGTTACTCAATTTGCAATATTCCCAATTGGCAGAATTCTTGGCTTTAGAATTCTCTACATTTTTTATTGAGTTAATGAGAATACGGAATAAGAGATAAAACCTAAGACCGAATCAAAGATTCTAACTATTCAGTTATTAAGGATGGAAGAGGCATTATAATATTACAAAGAACTTTCCCATTTTATTGTATATAAATTTTATTATTAATTTTCTTAAGTTTCAGCCCCTTTATTGATGTAAAATTAAGAAATATCTATATAATTAAGGTACACGAATTCTAGGGATTTACTAATTATTGTTTCCTTCAATGAAGGATTTGGATAAGCTGTTACCCATATTCCTACTTTTCTTAAATTAGTTATTTTGTTGTTTAGAAGAATTAGTTTAGAAAGATATTATCATATCCCATAAATAGAGGCTGGGATTATGTTTTGTCTTCTATTTATTCTGTAAGATTTTTCCATTATTGAATAAGGGGAAAATTATCAATTTCTTTATGGTATTAGAGCAATTCTGAATACCTCTATTCCTCATGACAAAATACGGGATGGCAACTGAAAGGTAAAGCTCCACGTCTTAAGTTACTTCTGTAACTGAAACTATCATCAAAAGTTCTAATGGAGGATTTGAGAGTAGCCCTCTTCCCATCACCACCTACAAATTGAACAGTCACAACTACCTCCAATGGTCCCAATCTATGATGATGTTCATTTGTGGGAAAAGCAAAGATGATTATCTCACTGGAACAATAACCATTCCAAAGAAAGAAGATCCAACATTCAAAATTTGGAAATCTGAAGATAACATGGTAATGTGTCTTGGCTTATTAATTCTACGACTAACGAAATCGGGGAAAATTTTCTTCTCTATGGTATAGCGACAGAGATTTGGGATGCCGCCAAAGAAACATATTCCAGTTCTGTATTCATTAGAACTATTTTCTATTGAAAGTACCTTTTATGATCTGTGGTAGGGTGATTCTTCTGTCACCTAGTTTTTAATTCCCTCAAATGTCTACAACTTGACCTATTTGAAGTGTACAATTGGAAGTGCCCTGGAGATGAAGCTCTGCACAAGAATATCATCGAAAAGAAACGTGTTTTAAATTCTTGATGGGATTAGACAAGGATCTTGATGAAGTACGTGGAAGAATTGCAGGAATGAAGCCCTTATGCAACTTTCGAAAAAGTTTTTTTCAAAGGTTCACTTGGAGGAAAGCGTCGAAAAGTGATGATGGAATCACTAATTTCTTCATCCGCTAGAGAAGGATTTGTTTTTGTTGTGTATGGTTCCCAACAACCAACAAACATTGACAACAAACCAAGGACGGAATGACCTTGGTGTGAATCTAGTCATATTAAGAAAAATTATTGGAAGATTTATGGAAAGCTGGCTGACTGGAAACTTGTTTGGTTTTCAAATAACAAAGACAACCGTGTATATCTTAACTCTCCCAACGATAATTCTACTCATGTTCAACAAAGAACAAATGGAATTACTCTAGAAATTGTTCACTTAATTACATAATAATTCGACATCTAATTCTACCATGATTGGTATAGGTTCTTTAGCTCAAATAGGTAATCTTACCAACATCCTAAATGTGAAAAAAAAAAAAAAAAGTAAATAAGGGCCATGGATAGTGGATTCCGGTGCTTCATGTTGAGGTTGTCCTACATTGGTTGTGGATGGAATTAGTATTCAGTATATAAGTGTGAGTGAAAGCTCCACTTCTTGAGTAGCTTTCAGGGTTGAGAACGCTCAAGACCAACCAACACCAGTATCAGAGCTCGATTTATCAACAAATTCGACCCAATAGTAACGGAGATACGGGGTTGTGTGAGGGAAAGATGAGTTTGGTCTCCCGCAGGCTTCGTTGTGTGGGAAAGAGATGGGTTTGGTCTCCCATAGGGCTCGACATGTGGAGGGAGACTTGTTTGGTCTCTTGCAAAGCCCGGCGTGTGAGGGAAAGATTGTTGAGGTGGTCCCACATCAGTTATGGATGGAGTTGGTATTCAATTTATACGTGTGAGGGAAAGCCTCACATCTTGAACTAGCTTTTGGGGTGAGAGAGGCTCAATATCACCCAACACTGGTGGAGATACGAGTTTGTGTGGGGAGGAGACGGGTTTAGTCTTCCACATGCCTCGTTGTGTGATGAAAAGATGAATTTGGTCTTCCATAGGGCTCGATGTGTAGAGAGAGACGAGTTTGGTCTCCCACATAGCTCGATGTGTAAGAAGGAGATTGTTGAGGTTGTTCCACATCAGTTGTGGATGGAGTTGGTATTCAGTCTATAAGTGAGGAAAACCTCACATCTTGAGCTAGTTTTTGGGGTGAGAGAGGTCCAATACCACCCATCACCCATTCCTGGTTCAATTTATCACTTAGAAGTGTGCACATAACCAATTGCTTACTTTTTCATAAATTTATCCTCCAATTTCAACAATTTCAAAGGTATGTGTTTAAAACCTTACATTTCACTATCTTGATAATTTTTGGTTTTTTGTCAATTTCTCTTCATTAAACTAACATTTCATAAATCTAAATTGTTCCATTATGCATCATGTGTGTAGCATTGCATCATCCACTCCTTGTGGCTCATGTTTGCATTATTTTATGGCATTTTTTCATTATTTTAGTTTTTGCACGATTTTAGTCACTTTTATTTCGATTTTTTTTTGTCTTTTGGTGGTGTGCTTGTATGTCCTAGGCTTGTTGTGATTTAGGTTGGATTCCTACATTGTGGGGGTGGGTGTAGTGTTGAATAGGTAAGGAAATTTAGGTTTTCATTGATGCACGCCACGTGTTCGATAGAATGTCCTTTTCACCTTTTAATTTTGCTTGCCCCACTTATGCGTCTCCTTTACATTTATATCTTTGATCCATATTACTTGTTGGTTGCTTTTGGATCTCATTCCGAAAGACACACCTTACACAACATTACTTACATCTTGACGTCGTATCACTCACGACTTGACGTCAAGCTACCTGTGCCTTGATCCGTGTTAGCATCTGTGTTGCCATCATCCTTTCAACCTCCGATCACTACTTGACCTTAGTTAATGTCACCATATAGTTTTGCATTGTTTTGCGTGTTTTTGCACTTTGTTGCGTAGTTTTACATGCCTTACACTGTTTTGCTTATTTTTGCACTTTGTTGCATAGTTCATGCATATCATGCTTAGATGGTCTACAAGAGCTCTAGTATTCTGGTTTCTAATTTTGATCATTTGCAACTGTCTTGTATGCCACATGCCACCTAAGCGAGCTCGAACTTCTGCACAGACATCTAGTGGATCGACCTTCTACAATAGGTCTAGGTTAATCTCTTCCACTGCACACGAGGTCTTCAGGTCTCAGTTCTCCCTCCGTCCTGATCTTTTCAAGCGTGAAGTAATTCTCTCCGACCTCTCTCTCGACTTGGCTGCCATCTTCACTTCTTGGAGGTGTGAAGCATTGCTGATAGACCTCTCTCCACTGTCTAGTCTCCTAGTCAGGAGTTCTATGCGAATATGCATAAGATAAATGGGTTGTTGTTTTGGCTTTTTCTTAGGGGTACGACTGTTAGGATTTTACCTGATATCATTTCTTGCACATTGCAAGTTCCCCATGTTGTTCATCCCATTTTCTCCCAACTTTCTGCTGAGACCCTTCTGCCTGACTATCTGGTTTGGTCGACATTGTTCAACTACCCTTTAGGGGGTGGTCCTACGGTGATCCGCACAGTATCTTTTCCCACTGATTACCGAATTCTGTTACGCATTATGTGCACGAATCTTTAGCCAGTTTCACATACTTCTTCCTTGCCTACGGAGAAGGCAATGTTTTTGAATGCTTTATTACATGTTGACTCGATTAACTTGCCTACATTTATCTGTCATCACATTTTGCGCATGTTTCTATTCGAGTCCCAGGTCACAAAATAGGTCTCTCTTATGCCTGTTTGATTCATCATCTTATTACTTCTTTGGGGGTCACTTTTCCCGACGGGGTTTCAGGACGTGTCAGTCGACCTATAGGTCAGGTTACTGTATCTTAGAGTTGATCACATGTCCCTTCGTCCTATTCTTCCACAGAGCCGGCAGAGCCTGCTGATCATTCTTCTGTTGGTCCTTCACATATTCTTGCTTCTACTTCTCAGCCCACTATTCCTTCTGATCTCTCATCATCTTCTACCTCGATTTTAGCTCTTCCAGTTGAGTCCATGCCCGGGACTTCCTCGATTCTTATTGATCTATCAGTTGCTCTTATGGGTCAGATGTCTGTGCTCATCGAACAGTAGGCTTGCATGATGGCCGAGATTACACAGCTGAGAATTACCTTAGAGTAATTGCTTATGTTCAGCATAGCATTAGGTGGATGTGCCAGCATTGGGACCATACCAGCAATGGTGACGGAGACAATGATTCAGATGATGCGTTGACGATGACAATGTTGTAGATGATAGCTGATGGGGTTTACCTTGTCATTCGTAACAAAATGGGAGCAGTTGTGTAACTTTGACATGTGCTAGTTGACATATATTTGTGCTAGATTAAGTGTTTTTTAATTTTTTGCAATATTGATGTATATTGATAGGGTTCACCTTGTCATTTGTAACAAAAGTGAAGTAGTTGTGTAGCGCTAACATGTGCTAGTTGACATACATTTGTGCTAGATTAAGTGTTTCTTGATGTTTTTGCAATATTGATGTATGTTTTTTATGTTTTGATGGGTGTGGATTTTGATGTTTTTGTTAGTGCACCAATGAGAAGGTGGGATTGATTCAAGATGGCAAAGCGTAGGATGTGTTCTCAGTGTTCAATAATCTCTGAACGCATGA